TCCATCAACCCAGAATGCCTAACACCCCCACAGGATGTGCACACATCCCCTCTGATGCGCTCACGTCCTTTGGAGAGTGTCTGGGTATTCTGGGTGCTGAGGGTGGGCGCCTGTGAGATGACAGTGAGAGGGGGGAGTGGTGATGCCCTGTTCCCACGGAGGCCAGCGCAGCTATGAGATCACCTCTGGGGGGTTAATGCAGGTGCTGAGGCGGGAGCAGATGCAGACAGACACACCTGGTGGGCACAGGTGGCCCTCGCTGAGGTGCCTTCGGTCAGCATTCAAGATCAAGAACCCAGAGGTGGAGAGGAATTCCGTCCTCTCAGTGAAACAGTGGGATAGTCGGGGCGACTGTAGAGGAGGAATGTGCACTTTGGGTGCCAGCACCCATGAGCGAAGGCTGCCCAGGTCCCTTGCTTGCTTGGGGCCTAGCGCACTCCTGCCGGGCAGCGGGTGACAGGACGTGCTTTTCTGAATTAATGAGAGAAAACGTTGTTTCTCCTGCTGCCCACGAAGGCGGAAAGTGAAGTGGGGAGACATGTGGGGAGTGAGCAAGGTTCCCTGTCTGGGGGTTCCAAATCTGCTGTTGCTTTCTTTTACCACAGACTAGAGATACACAGGGTGTCCCCCCAAAATGTATACACACTTTGAATACCTACTAATTCCAATGGTTTTAAGCATAAGAAAGAAATAACAATGGAGCTATTACCTGTTAAAAGTGTGGGCACAAACAGGCAGTTGGATATTCTCTGAGGGGTCTCAGATTGGAGAGGGTGAAGGCCAGACTGAGGGGACCCCCCCTACCCCAGTGCACGAATTTTGTGCACAGGGCTACTAGTCTATATAATAAAAGCCTAAGTGACCATTATGGCGGAATGACCAGAATGATTGGTTGCTATGATGCGCAATGCAGGAGCTGCCCCCGGTGGTCAGTGTACTCCCACAGGGGGAGCGCCGCTCAGCCAGAAGCCAGGCTCACAGCTGGCAAGTGCAGCCGAGGTGGTGGGAACCTCTCCCGCCTCCGTGGCAGCGCTAAGGAGCAGCCAGCCGAGTGGTGAGCCGAGCGGTAAGGAGCAAGGGATCCCAGACTGTGAGAGGGATGTCCTACTGCCAGCTTAGGCCCAATCCCCTTGGACCGCCAGCTTAGGCCCAATCCCTGAGGGGACTGGGTCTAAGCCGGCAGGCGGACATCTCCTGAGTGGTCCCAGACTGTGAGAGGGCGTAGGCCGGGCTGAGGGATCCCTCTGTCTCCAATGCATGAATTTTGTGCACCAGGCCTCTCGTTTACTATAAAAGGGATACAATCATTTTTGCACACATGTTAGCCTATCCAGTCTTTCTGCTCAGTCAACCTAGATTACTTAAAATGAGTCACAGCACCCAGCTATCAATATTTCTAGAGCCATGAAAGAAAGACCTACTAGGTTGGGGGTAAAAAAAAAAAATTGATACACTGACCCATCTTAAGTTGCCCAATTTCACATTCACATAACTGAACACCTATATTAATCTATCAGCTATATAGTAAACAGCATATGTCTGCATCTCATAACAAGGAAACTACAGATGTACTGTGATTTCAGTATAAATGACATCCTCTGCCTACTTATAATGCTATGATGACTTCTTCAATTTTGTTTCTTCAAATGCGAGTTGATTCTCCCGAACAAATCAGCACTATTGTTAGAACTTGGTTCCATTACATTTCTGTCCTTTTCTGCTCGTCTCTTAAAGAGGCATTTATTCCAGCTTCCCTATGCTAGCTCCAGTCTCTTCCCTGGGCTTGTGTGCAAGGACTATGATCAATATGAGTACAACTAAGGAACATCAAAAGACGTCATGTGAAAAAATCTGTTAAAATTTCATAATTTGGGCAATTATATTACATTAGCTGCCAAAACACCCAGGAAACCTGCACATATATTTGAAACATAAACACATACGCATGTATACACACAACTATGCCCTTCCAATAATAGCTAAGCTTTACTGGAGACACTTTAATAGAGAGCCAAGTATAAAATGATAAATTATTTTTAAAATCTGCTTCAAATTGAATACTGGAAAGCTTACCCCACAAAATGCCTTCCTGTGGGTTCTGAGCCAGATAACCTTTCAACCACCTTTGTTTGTGTGTAACCTATGAAAACCCAGGAGTTTGTGCAGAAACAGAGGATTTTATTTGGAACACGTTAAGTATCTGCATAAATTCATTTAAAAAGAGAAACAGCTTCTGATGAATGCAGTGACATTCACTTAAATCAAAGACGAACAGGTTACACCACATTAATACCAATCCAGCATGCATAATGAGTCCTTTTATATTACTCGCTTCTAAAATTAACTCCAGAAATCAACAACACAATTTATCTTAAGACCTCTATAATAAAAAGTTTAATTTTTAAATAGCTAAATATTTTTTAATGAACCCAAGTCAGAGAAGAGAGTCAATCTTCTACCTAAACGTTTATCTATTACTGATTGTTTTATCAGGAAAACAATTCTCTATGGGGTTTTTTTGTTTGTTTGTTTGGTTGCCTTTTTGGGTTAATTTTTTTTTTTTTTTTTTTTGGTGCTAAAGAAGGCAGAGGAGAAGGATAAATCGCTAAAAAAAAACACAAAACAAAACAGAACAAAAAAAACACACAAAAAACCCCAAAGAAATATAAACTAAAAGGGAAGAAGCACTCATCTGTACCTTTTATTTTATTGATTTCAGAGAGTTAAGGAGAGGAGAGAGAGATAGAAACATCAATGATGAGAGAGAATCATTAATTGGTTGCCTTCTGCATGCCCCCTACTGGGGATCGAGCCAGCAACCCTGCCTTATGCTCTTGACCAGAATTCAAAATCGGGACTCTTCAATCAGCAGGCCAATGCTCTATGCACTGAGCCAAACCATCTAGGGCTCATGTGTGTATTTTAGCATTAGAATCAACAAGTCCTCAATGAAGGCCCCCAGATTTTTTGACCAACTTTAGATTTGCAAGTTTCAACTAATTAACAATGTTTTTACAAACCAACAAAACATATAGTAGCCTAGCACTTAGTATATGTCCAATAAATAATTATTAAACCAATGCAAGTGTTAAGTGTCTATCTCCAATAATCTCACAGAACTTCCTAAAAAAAACCAGTGACAAGAAAAATGAGTTACTGAATTTGATTTCAAATCCCTAACTCACAAAGTATCTTATTCAAATCTATTACCCAATGGCATTTCCCATCTAGCCTTAGATGTGATGTCTTATTCAACCCTAAATTTTTTTCTGATGTCTGCCACTTCTCTAATACCTTTTGTTCTACCAGCCTGTTAGCTTTCAACAAGTTTCGCAGTTTTAAATTAATGCATCTATCAACAAATCTTTCTTCAGTAAATTTAAAAAAGGGCAGTGCTAATTGCAAAAGTAGCTGAATTACAATCCATAAATGTAGCCATGTTGATAAGGATCCACTATTCCTTTTTTTTCACATTTCTACTTCAAATTCATACTGTGCTCATTTAGAAGACTATTTCACAAGTTTCCACAAGCAGAAAAAGAAAAGGTGGACGGCCATACTTTCACTGGAAAGTACAGGTAACTTTCAGCTTTGTGAGTAATTGAAATTGCCCTTAATATGGAGGAAGTAGTTTCTGACAACAACAACAAAAATCTTAGTTTTTGTATTATATTAGCCCCTACCTGGCAGGCACTTTTAAGATAATTGAAAACAAGCTTTTCTGGAAAATGGGCCTCACTGTCACCATCTACAAAGCAGAAGTGGAATGCTGACTTGGTTGTCTCCTAAGCCTTTGGGGACGTGGGGGACTTGTTTGGATGTGAATACATGGGCCGCTTTCTGGACTTTCAGTCCTGGGTATTCTAACAGCCAAACTGAAAATCATTCATCAACAACAAGAAGAGGAATGCATGCTGCAGTCTTGGAAGCAATGATTCTCCGTGGGGAGGCGGGCCCTCTAGATCAGAAGATGGTCGTCAGAGGAGATATTTTAAAAGATTCCATTTAAAATATATTTTATTGATTTTTTACAGAGAGGAAGGGAGAGGGATAGTCAGAAACATCGATGAGAGAGAAACATCAATCAGCTGCCTCCTGCACACCTCCTACTGGGGATTTGCCCGCAACCAAGGTACATGCCCTTGACTGGAATCGAATCTGGAACCCTTCAGCCCACAGGCCGACGCTCTATCCACTGGGCCAAACCGATCAGGGCAAAGAGGTAGAATCTTTTAAACCATTTTTGTCTGTTCATCTTAATCCCAGTTGAAAATATTCACATTAGTGAACCACTATTCATATCCCTGAAGGGGGTTAGGGCAGAAGAAAAGATTGAAAAGCATGGCTAACAAAGGACAAGTCTTAGAGATTTCCTTTCCAGCTCTTCATATGCTAATGGTCAAAACCCAAGCAGACTTAGACACCCCAACTCTACGCATATCACTACCCTTTGTGTAGGGAGGTATGAAGAGCTATATATGCTATTAGGGATCAGACAATATAGAAGAGCTAGGTTAAGGAAGTACCTAATATTTGACTGAGAATAGCACTTATTTGAGTCTAAATTCTAACAACCATAATCAGAAACTGGACATAACCCTAAAGTAGGAAAAAATATAAACATATCAATATTTGAAGAGGTAGAGATGAAACAGCCAAGTGAATGTGAAAGTTGTTTAATAAAAGCTATTTATTCCAGCTGAAATATTATAAGAATGAGAGCTGAAAATAAAGGTAATTATCATGCGGTGATGTAAATTAGAAATTACTTAATAACAACAACTACAATAATAATAATAATAATAATAATAATAAAGGTATCTTCCCATATCTATTGGTAGGAGTTTGCACACCAAATTTACATGTAGCTTCCCCCCCCCTTTTTTTTTATTACTTTTTTCTCTTTCTCTCCCTCCCTCCCTTCATCCCTCCTTTCCATAAGCTATGGGTATTGCTAGTAGCCATAGTGCAGTCTGAAGTCCCATCTTTTTTTCCCCACCCAGTCTCAGTCCATTCTCAGAACACACTTCATAACCTGGTTTCCAGAACTCAGACTGAGCAGTGGTCTCGTCATTAACAACCAGGACTAACAGTTACAGCGGCAGAGGCCTCCCTAAACCTCCCTCATCTCTAGCCTAACCAGGCTCATCCCCTGGCCCCACTTCGCCTGACCTTTATAATCCTCTTATGCTCTGGGCCGGCATCGCCGCCAGCCTTGGGGCCCAATCTTTTAAGGAAAATACTAGGGGCTCTTCCGGGGGCTACACTGGGAAACCGGGAGACACCCCGCCCTATGACCCTCGCTGCAGTGCCCTCACACCAACCTCCCCACCCCACTACGCGACTCGACCCCGCCACCCACCACTGGCCTCTGAAGTCCCATCTTTTTTAATTTTATGAGTCATAAAACACTTTTTCTTTTTTAAATATATTTTATTGATTTTTTTACAGGGAGGAAGGGAGAGGAATAGAGAGTTAGAAACATCAATGAGAGAGAAACATTGATCAGCTGCCTCCTGCACACTCCCTACTGGGGATGTGCCCTCAACCAAGGTACATGCCCTTGACCGGAATCAAACCTGGGACCCTTGAGTCCACAGGCCGACGCTCTATCCACTGAGCCAAACCGGTTAGGGCAAAACACTTTTTCTTAAGTCTTCCCATTTGTGATAACTGCGTGACAAGGCAGCCAAGCTGCTTGGGGACATGGGAAATCCTGCCTTAGATTTGGTTTTACAGGAGCCTGTCCTTCAGTCCCACTTACATGGTGGCTCCTATTCAATTCAATAGAAGTTTGTCTGATTCTTACTGGTATCTAATCTCCATATAATCTCTATCTAGAAGAGAAAGAAAACCCATTTTAATGCCCAAGGAGCCCAAGAAATCTCACCAAAACTTCTTGCCATTTGGCCTCAAGGACAGATTCTGAGCAATGTTGCACACAACTTCTTCTACTAGTGTCTGCCTTACACTTGGCATTTGTGCATGTGGGTGCATTTGCATTAGTAGCAGCAGTAAATGTGAAATCAGACACTTAATTCCAGACAACCCAATAATTTGAAGTTGTCTATATTACATAGATACTAGAAAAGGTTGTGCATTTTTAGTTTAGTCTAAACACTACGATAATGTCACACTATGCGTTAGCCCTTAAAAGACAGTAATACTTTCCTCAGCCAGTTCTCTGGTGCTAACCTACACTTCGTTTCACACTAAGCGAATAAATAACAGATTTTTTTTTTCACATGGCACCTCAACTTTATATCACAAACAAAGATCTTTGGTTGCACAAGCAATATAGATCTTAGTCTGTACAGGCCCTGCTTGGATTTGAAGTCCAAGACGGTATCCTAACTGGGCAAAGTGGTTCCTACGATGGCACAGATCTTCTGGAGTGAGCTGTGGGCACAGGCATGCAGCCATACACCCAGTCACCTGAAGGAGACTCCACTGGCACCACAGGCGTCTCCCATCTTCTTCAAAGAGATTTAAAGTCACTATCTGTGATGTCTAACACCACTACCGTCTAAGTTCATTACAGCTTAAATAGGTAATGAATATAAATTCTTATCTTTCATAGACAACATATCTATAATTACATGTACATCCGTCAGGTACGAATCTCCTAAGGGGAAAGGAGATACAAATCAAGTTGTAAAGCTCAGCAAGAAGGAGAGCAGTGAGAGAGCAGGCGGGCCTACCTGTTCGGGCAGGTGAAGAACCGTGTGCTCACCAGCGCTGAAGCGTGACAGAGATTGATAGGCAGCCTTTGCTACAACCGAGTCCTGGGTAGGAAAAAGGTAAGATAAAGAAAATAAACAACGTATAATAAACAACTCCCTCTCCACCCTCAGAGTTCTATGGTCAGTGCTCCTGGAACGGCATTAACTCGCTTAATCCATCCCAATTGGAAATGGAGAGAAAAGCACTGGGTAGAGGGACCAGAAGCACTAGGATTTGTGCCCTAGTTTGGACATTAAACATAAAGTAATGCATAATCTCAGGCCCCCATGGCGCAGTAGGGCTTAGTGGAAGGAAGGGGGCTCAGGGGCTAGAGTCTGATAGGCCTGGAACTGGATTCTGATGCTCCAGCTCCCAGCAGGGAAAGCTAGCCTTTGGGAAGCTAAGCTTTTTCACTTATGCGTCAGATACATCAGCCACACCCTCTTCTCTATACTCCTTATTGGAAACAATATTAAAAACATGGACTGGGTGGTTGCTTGTTTGGTATGCTTGCTGAGGGGGGAGGGACAAAGCAGGAAAGGGAAGGACCATTAAAAACATGAGACAATGGCATCTGTCCCTCTTCCGACAAATGTCAGCTTCACAAAGTAGTACGTGCACTTCATGGTGAAACGTCTTAATGAGAGCAAATCGAGAATACGTTCTAAAGTCTAAACTTGTGGATAGTTGCAATTCTTCTAAAATCAAGGAGCCATCATTTCAAGGGCGTCTCCTTTTTTATTCTAAGAATCTTATTTGGTAGCTCCTTCCCCAGCCTGGCTCTGTGTCAGGGACACCCCTTGTGATAGTACCTTGTTCTGAGTGTGAGTCCAGAGGAAGCTGAGGACTTGAACTTTGAAATTCTGAAAAAGTCAAAATAAACATCAGAGTAAAATGTTAAGACAAAGATAAAACCGAGAATAAACATCTAGTAGCAAATAGCGGAAATTAAATCACCTTAAAAGTTATACCCCCAGTCCTAACCGGTTTGGCTCAGTGGATAGAGCGTCGGCCTGGGGACTAAAGGGTCCCTGGTTTGATTCCGGTCAAGGGTATATACCCTGGTTGCGGGCACATCCTCAGTAGGGGGTGTGCAGGAGGCAGCTGATTGATGTTTCTCTCTCACTAATGTTTCTAACTCTCTATCCCTCTCCCTTCCTCTCTGTGAAAAAATCAATAAAATATATATATTTAAAAAATAAGTTATACCCTAGTAATTGACTTAACCTGTATTTACCCACCATTCATAAAATGAAAATACTTGGAAACAGACTCATCACTTAGATACATGGATATTTTAAATACAATGGGATTTTAAGATTATTAAATTTAGAAACCTAACCATTTCCTACTGTCTTATCACATGATCAAAAACATAAAAGGGACCAATATTGGAATATGATGGAGGGGTGGTTTATCAAAATCCGTGACTCAAACTAAAAGTCCGGCAAGAAGTAAAAATCAATTGCTGCTCTTTGAAAGAAAAGGAAAAAAGATGAACATGGAAGGGAATATGGCCACAAAAGAGGAGGCGTAAATGAATTCAACACCTTCTCTATTTCACTCACAGAAGAGATAACTGAAGGAAACGTTAAGCAGGAATCTATGAATTTGACAGCAAAGCATCTTTCACCAAGTTTTTCAATTCATTAGGATGACAAACACAGAGTTGTCATAAAATCATTTTTCTCTTCTAATGGGTTGGTTTTATAATCATACTCATTGAAGAGTATAGTTGAAGGTGACAGATGTATGTAGAAAATGTCAACTAACATGTAAAAACCAAATCTCTATGGCAAAGCTAGGAGCAAACTGACAATATGTCTATAGTAATGGAAGATTCTTTGTATATTTTTTAGAACTTAAAACACCAACAAAATGAATTTAAACTGTTGGTCTGATGAAATCTATTATTTTCAAAATACTTTTTAACATGCTGACTTTTTAAAATCTTGACTATACCCTCATAATAAAAACTTGGTATTCTTTATGTAAATGAGTCTTAACGGCTCAGAATTGATAAGGGTAGATATCTTCCCTACTCCTGAGGGTCCATACAGATATCAACATGTTTTCAGAACAAAACATGCTAAAGGATTTTGGGCAAAGAATTACAAATATTTTATCCAAAAGTTATTAAAAAGCACACGTCTTTCTAGTGTAGAAACAGACAATGTCTTGAGCTCCAAACGCATACCTCGTATTCAGCTGTGTTGACAGTTAGGGAAGGCACCAGAGAAAACAGTTCACTGAGTGTCTTCAAGATGAGAGGTCTGGTGTCACAGCTCAGCTTCGGGGAGAGAGCGTTCCAAGTGGATCGAATACAAACAACCTGCGAAGCAAATCAAGAGTGAATGCCCAATAAGATCTTAATTCCTAAGAAGCCATTAGTAAAGAGCACTATCTTTTTCAAAATGTTTTTATTTTTTAATTACAGTTGACATTCAATATTATATTAGCTTCAGGTGTACTGCATAGTGGTTAGACGTTTATGTAACTTAGAGGTGATTGCCTCAAGAAGTCTAGTACCCTTTGGTACCACACATAGTTATTACAATATCATTGACTCTACTAGGCTGCACTTTACATCACCATGACAAGAGTACTATCTTTTAGTATAAGGAGACTTAAGAAAAGAATAAGAACATTCCTAGAAGTTAAGATTTCATAAGGTACTGCCCTCAAAAGAAATGATTTAAACCAACGTAATCTAAACTGTTGTGGAAGAAGACCTAGCCTGCCTCATACAATTGCTTTCTTGCAAGGAGAAAAAAATCTCTCTCTTTCTTTCTCTCTCCCGCCCCCCCACCCCGACCCCCACCCCCCACCGCCCCTCGCCCCCCGCCTTTCTCTCTCTCAGGCACACACTTGAAATTAAATTCCAGATTAGCTACCTTCATTGCTGAGAAGCAGTCTCTGAAACACAGAAGGGTAAGCTAATGTTAGGACCTTTCTAAGACCTGGTGTCCACAGTCCTGGCAGTTTCTCAGCACTGCCGAAACCACCACAGCACCACCCGGAAAACGGGGAGGCTACTATAAATAAATTGAACACTCTCAAATCATCTTACAAGCTTTTAAAGAAGGGAGGAGAATATTTATATTATTTAAAATAATAATTTGAGACTTTGTCTTAAAAGTCATCTCAGATTTTTTTTTTTTTTTTTTAGGAGGCTAAGAGATCAAGTAAAAACTAAAGCCTAAGAAAAATGTTTAAGCCCAATTTCCTTAAAGCAAGTGTTCTCAGTTCATTTTAACATCTGGTTTTATGAATATTCACATGTCTTTGTAAGTTTAATTCCAACTCCAACAGATGAGTTCTTCACTTATAGATATTTTATTAAATTTTTAAAACCCAGGC